CGCGCAGTCACTGCCCTGCACTTGGCTCCTCCAAGAACTGGGGGGCAGGAAAACCTTTCTGCACATTTCTGGTGCTGCAGAACCAAAATGAGGGAGAGGATCCACCCAGTTTAAAGTACTCATTAAAAAAAAACCCAAAAAGAAAAGAAAAACTAGGGCGAAGGTAGGGAACTGACAGCACAGAATTTTTGCAAAAGCCTCCTTGACAGCACAGGTTTAGAAGAGCCACTTGTGTGACATTTTCTTTCCCAGCGTGGAAATTCAATGCACAGAAAGCTGCAGCTTTCACGGGGTAGACAGTGCCTTAAAGACCTGCTCTGCTGCCGCATACATTTTCCTGACAAATGAGTGCAAAATGACCAGCTTGTCTGTCTGGCTGCCCTAATAGTCCCGAAGAATTGCAGCAGCAGAACCTAATCACAACGTGCTATTCCCAGCGAGGGCGAAGCGAGCGCCGCTCCTCCCGGAGAGCCGGCAATCTGCACAAATACACGGAATTCAGGCGATGCAAAGGAGGCTGTTGCCTTGATTTGAGTGCCGAGCAATGAGCCTGTCTCGCGCCCGGGTTACAAAGGCCAGCGTGCTCCTTGATAGACCTCAGCATATCTTTTATCAGCGATTGTATAATAAAGCAAGTATAAAAACACAATAAATTCAAGGCAAGGTGCTAACAGATTGAGCTTTCCCGAACGTTCCTGAGCTCAAAATGGAGGGAAGGACAAAAGGCTTCCGCGCAGCTGATTCCCCGGAGGACCTGAGGACTTGTGTGTGTCACCTCTTCTCCCATCCTTGTTCACAACACAGAAGACTCCATTGTGCAGTCGGACGCTTTAAAAACAGGGCCCAAGTGCCACCAAGCCATCCTCTAGTGCAGGACATCCAGTTAGTTCCAGTATCACAACTGCAAACTCAGACGCAAATCACAACACCACAGCGCAGCAATTTCAACATTTTAGTGTCTTATTTAGAGCTATATTTTTAAAAGATAAAATGCTTTATTAATGAGAACTGCAAATCCTGGCACTGGCAAGGTCAAGTCGCCTGGTTTCCCGGCAGAGCGGGTGGATTACTTTGGCTGTTCCCAGGGTAAGGCCTGATGCTGTAATCCTGCCCCAGACAGATCTGCCAAGCCCAGCTCCTCCTCAGGAGCGTGCAACACGCGGCTCCAGGCCAGGAGCACCCCTGAGCAGCAGAACCTCCCCAGTCCACAAACACACACGGCCCAAGGGCTGGAATTTCCGCTCCCAGCACTACAAATACCGCGACAGCAGCGCAGCTGAAGAGCTGCTTTCACCACTAATGCTCTAAATGGCAAACACGGGTGTCAGCGCTGAGGCACAGACGTCAAGATGAAGCAATAAGCGCAGCAGACTTTGCAAAGCGAGGCCTTAGGTTCTGCTATGGGATCTGCTGCGGGATTGGGGCACATTCTTTAGCCCTAGGGTTTCAGGTGGGGGCTGCAGTTTTAGGACTGCCCTTGAGCCTGACCTCCCGAGGTGCAAAGGAGGTTCCTTATTGCCCTGCATTGTCTTCTGCTTTGATGTCCCAAGGAGCAAGGAACCTTGTAACCGATACTTGGGCATTTATTGTCACTTAAAAATAGCCCGGCAATCAGAGAGGAACTTCCACACACACTCCACTCATCTTTCAGGAGGAAAGAGGTCAGCAATTTAGCCCGGGAAAGGTCACACGGCGGCTCCGTAATGGGGTGTAGGATTGCGAAGCAGCAGCAGCTCCGCTCCGCTCGTTAGCAAGTGTCATGATAGCAGAAGACAGGCTTGCCCAGGCACACGGAAATTGCTTGAATGCACAAACTGCCCTGCGAAGGCAAAGGGCAAACGACAAGGTCACATCTGCTCCCCTCGCCTGCATGAGGGGAAGCACCCGCACCAGGGCCGGGGGTGCCAGGGCTCTCCCGGACGGGACACGAGAATGAAGAACAGCTTCCCAGCAGCTCCACACTGCTATTCCAATTCCTGCTCCCCACGCATCACACCCAGCCAAATATCCCATGTGTTCCTAGAGGAAACTTGGATTCCTTTTCAAGTACTCTTGGTGCAAGCTTGGACTTCTTTCCACGCCGCTATCAGGCCGCAGGATAACGAGAGGATCGGCGTTCCTCTTGCACACGTTTTCCACCCTGCCCGGCACCAGTTAGCCCCTCCAGCCCCGCAGCAAACGCGCACGAGGAGCCCACGCTGCGGGCGCGCGAGCGGCAGAGCGGCCGCGGCTCCCGCGGGACGATGAGGGGCAGAGAAGGCCCCGCCGAGGCCTCGCCGCCCGACTCGCACGTTGCCCAGCGCCTCGCCGAGGACTCGATGCCCGTTGCGCTGATGGGGAGCGGAGCGCGCGCCCGAGCCGGCGCCGCGCAGCCAAACGCGACGACTCCATCTAGCGGGTCCGGGCCCGGCGCGATCGATAGCTCATTATTAACCGTAATCACACGGCTCTGTTTGGTTTTGTGTGCGTGTATCAATCACCACAAGGGACACGTGCTTGCTGCTCAGCTCGTGGAAGAATACTGCAAGCCCAAGTAGTTATTGGCAGCGACCTGCACACCCGCAGAACCGAGGGGGAAGCGATTGATCTGCATCCTCCTCCTCCAAGCTCCCCAACAAACCCTCCCCTGCAAAGCTACTGACCTTTGGCTAACAGCGGGAAGGAAAACGCTTGATAAATAATAAATAGCTCACCCCAGGCTTTGGCTCAGAACCTTTTAATTAAAATAGTTGAGTTACTCTAAGGTAACAGTGATTGACATTTCAATCCCGGCCTAGCACATACATCCATCAAAAGGAGAGCATTCAAAAACAGAGCATTCTGACGCGAGCTGTATTTTCCCCCTAATTGCCCCTAACACTTCAGAGCCTCTGCTAACAGCTCCGCACCCCGCACGGAGACATCCCGCGCGCCCCAGCCCTGCCCCGCTGGCGGGACCGGCCTGCCGGGCGGGCAGAGCCGCTGCCCGGGGGCTCTCGAGAGGCGAGCTGCATTCTGCAGCAGCCGAGCGCAGCCAGGCTGCCCTGCGCCGGCCGGGCTGGCAGCACGCGCCCGCTTTTCCACTTCCAGGATTTGCACCTAATTGGACCACTTCCCTGCTTTGGAGTAGCAGCACGCGGGCACATCAATGAGTTATACAGCTGCAAGTCCACAGCTACCGAAACAGAAGCAAGGCAGAGTGTGAAATACAACTTCACTCTCGAATCTGGCAGCCAAGTTATGCTGCTATGGCATAAATCAAAGCTCTTTGCACCTCCCACACTCCAAGCACACCAAGCTGGGCTGCGCGCAGCCGCTCCGCACAAACCCAGCTTGCAACAGACCTGCTCACACGTGGCCATGAAAACAAACAGTTTAAAAGCTCCGCAGTCGCCAACGTTATTCGGCCACGTAGGGAGGGAAAGGCAAGCTGTGCCCCGGCTGCCGCTGCGCACACCGGGCCAGCCCCGCACCCGGGCCCTGCGAGCAGCCGCAGCAAGAGGTGCTTGCCCGCAGCTTCACAGCTCTGCCTTTATTTCACTGCACTTCCCCTCACCAGGAACAGCGCAGATCAGAATTGGATAGTGAAAACATAACACACCGTAACGCAACACAGGGAACACGACGTGGGGACGACGGTGCCACGCGGGGACCACGGAACCGTCGGCCGTTCTTCGGCTCGCCTGGTGGGAATCATGCGGCTCCAACCAAGCCCTGGCGCAGGGAGGCAGGCCTGTGTGCCGGGCACCCACACGTCCCTATGGAGCACGGCCCGTGCCTGGCTGCACTCGTCCCAAGGGAGGAAGGCGGTGGTTCAAGGAATCCCCTCGCCAGGCTGCACAGAGCGCACGCGGCGCGCTTGACTCTCCGTTAGTACAGACATCTCTGCTCTCCCAGATCAAAATCCATTTCCATTGATTTTCCCAATGGATTTTTTATGTATTTATCTCATCTGTTCCACGCTGGAATTTCTCCTAGCACAGACCTAGCGGGGCAGCTCCCAAGCCTGCCTTGCCCAGCTACCGAAGGTGGGCACAGCCACCAGTTCAGCTCAGGACGGGCCGCTCCGTGTACACGGATTCAGGGAACGGGCAGTGCCGCTCACCGCCTGGAAGAGCCTTGCACGGCCAGGAGCACCCGCCAGCGCGGTGAGCTGTACAAACAGACCCTCTAGTGGCTGCAGCTACCGCAGTGCCCACAGGAGCGGAGAAATAGCGGGAAACGGGACGTTTTCAGGAACAGAGCTTGACCTTCCAAAACAATCGAGTCGTTCTGCTGTAACTATACCCATTATCGGCAGGTGGACCAGGCCCCCCAAAACCAGCCCTGAGCATTCACAACGGCAGTCTTTTAACTGCCACGTACTACACTAAGCCAGCTGGCGTGCACCGTGCGCAGCAGCGCAAACACAGCGGTGGGGAACGCGCCCGGCAGGCGGCAGCGAAGCCACCACGAAACCTGCCCTTTCCTCACCTGACATGATTTCAACCTTCCTGGTTTGCTTTCAGAAGAGTAACTGCTTTTCATTTAGGCCTCAAAACAAAAATCAAAAACAAAAAAAGTCACTGTAGTTCCCACATGCAGGAAGGAGGAGGGAATTTCAGGAACTCTAAAGCACAGCGAGATAGACGGCTGCTTTCTGAGGCTGTGCTGGACCCAAGTTTCAGAGACTCTTTCTCTAACAGCCCTCAACTCTTCAGCCACCACTTGTAACTTACCTGTCACCAAAAGGCAGCAAACATCAAGTTATCAGCTATTGTTCAATTCATTCTACGATAAAGTATAAGTAAACTATATTAGGGAAAGAGTGATTAAACATATAGATAATTGAGAAAAGTTGCTCTTTAAAATGACATTCGCAGAGCTGTTTTAGGCAGGTGTTACAGAGCACCAGGCAAACAGTATGTGTCATTTCAGCAGCAGGACAGCCACAAGGCCCAGTCAGTGCAAAAGTTAAGACACCTTTACTACCGCAAAGAACACCCCGAACAGACAGAGGTTTACATGAGAGAAAACGTTTAATTTTTCAGTAGTGCATGTCATAGTTTCCACCTTGTGGTTTGAGACGGCACTCAATCCAAATAAAGGATTCTCTCCCTTTGAAGTGTGTGGACGGAGGAACACGTGTCACACGCAGAGCCACAGAAGGCACCAGGGCAGGACACGTGTGGGAAAGGGCGCGCAGAGCTGCCAGCTCGCAGTGTCCCGGGAGCGCAGGGCCAACGCGGCGCAGGGCGGCGTGTGGCTGCTCAGCGGGACGAGGGATCTTCCTCCTGCCCCGCGGGCGGCTCTGCCGGCTGCTCCCCCGTGCCCTGCTTCCGCTCCTGCATCTCCTCCAACACGGTCTGCAGCTGTGTGTGCAACACGGCATCCCTGCCTCCAGCATCCTGGCGAGCAGGCGGCGCGACCTAAAGGCAGAGGGTCACCAAAACACAGGGTTCAAAGAATTCCTGCACTGAAGAGAGCAATAGGAAGCAACAGCCAGAATAGACACCAAAAGACAAGTTTACACTGAACAATAAGGACGTTTTTACTATGATTATCAACACACACAACTATAATGATAGGAAATTACTTTGAAGTCATTTCATATTAAGAACCTTGGAATGAAGCGTTATGAATCCGCAGGACAACTACTGTTTCAGTATTGTTAAATACTGAATAAATACTTACTTACTAAATACTTACTTAAATACTGAATAAATACTTAAATACTTACTTTTTCTGCTCCTTTTCTCTGCAAAATTATGCCTCTGGCTAGCAGAGCTTTGCCTGTTTCTTCAAACAGCCTGTCCTCCTCGATCCTTCCCTCCTCCTTCAGCTCATTGAACTTCTCCACAAACCTGCACGTGCAGAATTTCACCTTCGCAACAACCTTCTGCCTCGCCAGCTCCTGTGGCGAGAGGCGGCGAGCGCCGAGTGCACTTCCAGCTTACCTCTAGGCAAACCCTACCTCTGGCAAGTGGATTTGAAGTTTGGCTGCGACAGGTCGAAGGGCCTGGGCCCGCTCCCGTAAACGCTGTAGAACTTCCTATGAAAAACACAAGCCGCGGCGCAGTGCAGCTGCCGCGCCGGCGGTGCCGCGGCTGCCCGCGGGGACACTCACGCGCGGACGCTGTCCTCGGGGTACAGGATGGGCGGCACCACGTCGGTGAGGCGGCCGTAGCGCGGGCGCGGCGTGCGGAACACGGGCTCGCGGAGCGGCGGGAAGGCGCCGTACACGTCGAACCAGAGCGGCCGCGGCACCACGCCGACGCGCAGCAGGTTCCGCGTGCTGCCGGCGCACAGCAAGGCGGTGAGCGCCGGCCGGGCCGCAGCGCCGCGCGCCCCGCGCCCGCCCCGTACCGTACCGGCTGAACACGCTGCCGATCTTGTGCGCGCGGTTCCCCGCCATGGCGGCGCCGCCACCGCTAGGCCTCCCCTAGCGACCGCCGCCCCTAGCAACCGCGCCACCTCCCGCCCGGAAGCGGATATACCCGCCTGACACCGATTACCGAGCCCTCGAGCGAGGGGCCGCCAGGGCGCGCAGCCAACCGCCGATAGACCGCCGCCCAGGAGCCTGGCCCAGCCAGGCAGCCGCAGCCGATGGCCGAGAGGGGCGGGGGGAGCTGCAGGCAGAGGCAGTGGATGCTCGATGTCTCCGTGGCCACGAGGCCACCATGGCCACCACCAGCCCCATGGCCTGAGGCCACTATGAGCACATGGCCCTGTGGCCACCACGGCTCCAGGGCTGCAGCTGCCCCCCAAACCTCCCGTTTGGGGAAGAAAAGCCCATGTTTGTGGCCGGGGAGCGGCAGGCAGCGTGTGGGGCGCAGCATGCCCATAACCAGCCCCGTTGTGCAGCACACACAGCCCCGTAACCCGGCTAAGAGCAACACCTGGACTTTATTACAGTCGGAATTACTAGGAAACATCTGTAAGAAAAAAAAAATCACCTATGGTAACAAATTCTAAAAGCGCGACACTCACAGACGGCGCGGGGGTTCCTGGCTCTGTTCCTTTGTGAAGCTGTACCAACGGCCGCTGTGACTCAAGGCCTTTGGGGAGAAGCAGCGCGTTCTGCTCCCCAGCCCGCCTCAGGGGCCCTGCTACCCATGAGACGCGATTTTAAAAAACAACAGTAATAAAACAGTGGCATTTGCGTGGCGGCCCGGCTGCGGAAGCCCCGTGCCGGAGGCCGTGGTGCTTCCCGCGGCTCCGGTCGCACGGGATTCCTCCGGATGCGGAGGACGAGGGCTGCCGCGGGCAGCGGGACACCCCTGCTCGTCCCGCTCCACACGGACGTTCCCAGCGTGCGGACGGACAGACGGATGGACAGGCGTCGTGCGGGAGGCACCGGCGCCGCCCCGCGCCTCAAGGCAGTTGGAGCGATGCCGAAGGCCACGGTTTGATCCAAAGGGAATCGCCCGGGCAAGGGCGGCCCCTCGCAGGGTGCCCACGGCTGCCTGCCGGGATCTCCGTGGCGACTCGTGGCAGGGACGGACGGCGCGTTCCAGGCTCTCCCTCGCGGCTGTCTCCCCTCTCGCCTCCCGCGCGTGCCGGGCGCAGCGAGCGCCGCTGGGAGCCGTGTCCGGGCGGCTGCGGCCGGCGGCACCGCGCGCCCCGGCGCGTCCTCGGCACGGATCCGCATCCCCCGGCAGCACCGCGCGGGTCGAGCAGCCGCCGGCAGCCCCGCGGCCGCCTTCGGGGGCGTCTTGGCTCGTTTGCTAGTCGGGAAAAGTTGTTTTCAAACCTCTGGTAAGAAAACGCCGTGCCTTGCTCGGATCCCAGCACTGCAGAGGAGTGCGGCCGCAGGGGGAACAGCCAAAAACTGGGTCATTTGTGGTCGGGTTGTCTTCTGTGTTTTCCTTTTTCAGCCGCGTTCTTGTAAAGCCTTGGCCACGTTCTGTTCCCGCAGTGAAGCCCGGCTCCAGCACCTAGGGGAGAGGCGGGACACGAGGAGAGGAGCAGGACCCGTGAGAGCTGCCTCACGGTCACCCCATGGTCACAGACAGGGCCCTGTCGGCACGTGGGACGTGGGCACCGCGGGATGTCGGCACTGCGGGACACAGGTCCGGAGCGCGGGATGGATGGACAGACAGGGCAGCTCCCGGGAAGGGCTCGCTCACCGCTTAGGGCCCGTCCCCGGGCGGCTCCTGGTCCTCGCGGAGCGGCGGCCGCCGCGCGCGGACGTCCTCGTCTGGAAGGCAGCGAGGCTCAGGGGCGGTGCCGGCGCCGCGGCCGCCCGGCCCCGCGGGCGCTCTTACCGCACGAGTGGCCCTCCACGTCGTCCAGGAGATTGGCCGTGGAGGCCGCTGTCCCCAGCCTGCGGCTCCGCTAAGGAAAAGCAGGATACAGGGAGAGCATCCCCAGCACTGTGCGGCAGGATTGGGCACAGCATCCCCGGCACCACGGGGCAGGATCGAGGACAGCGTCCCCAGCACTATGGGGCAGGATCCAGGGAGAGCCTCCCCAGCTCCATGGGGCAGGATGTGGGGAGCACAGGGCTCTTGCTGTCAGGATAATGGGGGATTCCCAGCGCCTCGGCCACGGCCGCTCCCTCCCGCCTCACGCACAGCTCAAGGATACGCATGGTGCTTCAGCAGGTGTTTTCTTTTTGACTTCCTCATCTTGGTCTTCTCGGAGAAGGCCCTGGCCAGCTCGAAGAGCTTCTTGCGCGTTGCTGCAGGGAAGCTGGGCTGAAGGTTTCGCCCGGCAGCGTGCGCGCCCTGGCACGCGGCGCCCGAAAACGGCAAGCGGATTCCCAGTGCGGAGCCCAGCACAGAGCCGGGCACCAACTCACATTTCCCCATGTGCTTCAGCTTGTCTCGGAATAAGGCATCGTCAGACACGGCGCTGCCGGCCTCGCTGCTTCCCGCGGGGGCCGCGTCACCTGCAAGGGAAACTTCTCGTCACGGCAGATCCAACGCAGATCCAGCGCCGGCAAAGCGGGCTCCACGCTGGCTATCGGCGCGCGCCAGGCCAGTCCCGACACTACATCCATGAGGAGCAGGGGGAGCTGGAGCGCTTTGCCGGGGCAGCACTGGGTCAGTATCCCCAGCCAGCAAGGGCACAACCACCCGGCCCACGCGTGGGGCAGCGCCCTAAGGCACAAGCTCCGTCGCATCCAGAAAACTACCTGATATTATGGAGGAGACGCCAAAATCGCTGCTCGACTTGGACTTTTTCGACTCGTACTTGAGCCGGTCTGCAAGAGAGGCCGAGGGCAGCGCGCGGTGAGTGCCGGGGCGGCCGGAGAGCGCGCGGTGAGCGCCGGGGTGGCCGGGGAGCGCGCGGTGAGCGCCAGGGCGGCCGGGGAGCGCGCGGTGAGTGCCGGGGCGGCCGGGGAGCGCGC